CCCGCGCCCCGGCGGGATGCGCAGCAGCCCGCGTCTGTGAGTCCAAGTCCGGGGCGGGAGGGGGGCTGTGGTCGGGCGCTGCTTGGGGCCACCGGCCCCGGCCCGTGAATGGGCTGCCTGGAGCCCGAGGACTTCCCTGCCTCCTCCCGCGCTGCGAGCCGGCGGGCCCGTCCTCGTGGAGCAAGCACCCGCCCTGCGCTGTAGCCCGAGGAGGCTCGCTCCGTACACATCTGGGCTCGCCAGACGCGGGAGGAAGATGATCCCTCCGTGGACTTCAGCGGATTGGAGCCGTCTCTCGCCCTGGCCGGTCTTGCTGCTGGTTCACTGCTGTGTCCTGCTCGCGAGTGCGGATAACACCAGCCAGGCGTATTACACGTGGAGCAAGCACCCGCCCTGCGCTGTAGCCCGAGGAGGCTCGCTCCGTACACATCTGGGCTCGCCAGACGCGGGAGGAAGATGATCCCTCCGTGGACTTCAGCGGATTGGAGCCGTCTCTCGCCCTGGCCGGTCTTGCTGCTGGTTCACTGCTGTGTCCTGCTCGCGAGTGCGGATAACACCAGCCAGGCGTATTACACAGCCCTCATCAACGTGACGGTGTTGAACCCGGACCGAGTCAGCCCTACATTGCTACGGATCGATCGTGGGCGCTACGGGCAGGATTCGCCCAAAGTGGAGGTCAAAGGCCTGCTTCTGGCACCCGTGCCTATCAACGGAGGTAAATGTCGTTTGCCATCTCTCTTCCTGTATTGTGCATGGAGAAGCAGCCCCCTGAAAGTACTAGATCCTTTTTTCTAGGTTTTGGATGCGTGTTTGTTTATTGAGCAAGCTTATGTTGGGTAACACGCACAGCTAACAAAATAAATTTTTGGCCGATGCCTCCTTGTGCTGTGGTGACTAGTAAGCTATTTAACCCACTCTCAGAGTAAATAATTCACCTGCTTTCTGGGTGTCTTGTTGACAGAGCAGTGACCTGTGTACAAGGTTTGCAGATTTTCATTGTTAGCTCTGGTATAGAAGAGGAATATTCATAATCTGTGTCTGTGCTAGTACTGAACAATTGTACAGGGTTTAATATGCTCTTCATTATACACAGTTCAGCACATTAGTCGTCAAGGTTCATATGCCTTCTTTCTGAATTAATGTTGGATATTAGGTATTTGATACATTGCTTTGGTACTCATGCAATTTTGACACTGGCAAATCTCAAAACTTCCATGTTAGGTATTTATTAGAAGAACTTGATGTGTATAATTGCATAAAATCACATGATACCCTAATCATTTTCACACTTAACCCGTGTGTGTGTGTGTGTGTGTACGTACACTTGCACTTACAGGATGGTTGAAGTCACCAAGCTTGCATTCTGGTGTCAGACACCCACAGTATGCTTGCATCTGGCAAAAACAATACACCACATATGTGGCTTTGTGTAATTACACCTTAGCCAGATTTCATCTTTTATTAATATGTGCACAGTTTTTGTAACTAGTGTGTGAGCATTTTAAATTAAAATGTGAATTTAATAGCTTTATCTTTTTGTTGTTTACATTCTGATAAATGTGTTTCTTAAAGAATGCTAACCTATTCATATTTTTTTAATGATACTAATCTTGTTAGGGCTGGAACTAAAGCCATTAACTAGGAATACCTAAGCAAGTCAAAATAGGTTTTTTTAAATGTCATCTCTTGAATTAAGTGATGGATTACAAGAGGTTCACAGATCACTACCTATCTTGGGTAATGGAATTACTTGATAGATCATATCTAGTTCCTAGCATGTTTCCTGGATGCTGCACATATAGTGGAAAATATAAAATGAATTAATCTGCTAGTACTTGTAATATTGACCTGGAAATGAACATCTAACTTATTTTGGAAAACCCCAAAATGTACATTTTTGTTTAAAGAATTTAAAAAAAGCTTTTGAATTATCCCAATTACTGTCACAAATACTATCATAGTAGTATGTTTTAATACTGAAGGCCACTTACAGGGTTTGGCTTGACTAGACTAAAACAGTGAGTGGATTTGTATTTTGTGCTTTTTTTTAAATGTTAACAAATATGTTTTAAAAATCTAGTATAGTCAAGGCAAGTTGTAGCTTAGTACATGCTAGCTGGTCTAGTTGAAGCCCTGAACTTCCCTAGTTTTTGGAGGTGTTATTTAGAACATGCTAGAATAACACATTCTGACAAACACTTTATAATCATAGTCCAAATAAAACCATAGGACACTTGGGAGGGGAGGATTTGAAATTCAAATATAGGCCATCTGTGCACTTTTGAGTCCTTTCCCCCTCCCCCCAAGAAAGGAAGGAAGGGGTGGAAAAAAACGTGACATGAAATTGAGGTGCTATCTTGGTGAAGTGGAAAGAGATGCAAAATAGTATCTTCTAGGCTAGGTGGGATTGTATCTCTTTAGCATGTATTGTTTTTCGTATATGAAAAAGTCTAACATCTGGATTTTCTTTGCAGCAAAGTGCTGCATCTTTTATCAATAAAAATCATTGAAACAATCCTTAATTCTATTTTTGCACTTTTCTCTTCTTTTCTGATGTTCATCTAAAGCATAGGTCAAAGGGTGATAGTACAGTATTTGCACTGGAATAACAAGAGAAAGCTTTCGCTAGAATAATAAGAGAAACCTTAGCAAATTCATGAAACATCTTTTAAAAATATAACACAACAAATAATTTCAACTAGGTAGCATGGTGAATCATGAAATTGCAGATCTGAATTATGGCAGTTTGACATGTAATCATTAATGTTTGATATGTTGTCAGTTACTGAACAAGCTCTATTCTGTCCTTAGCCTTGTGAAGAGAAGCCTATAAAGGAAGAACTGACTTACACTTAGCTTTTAATCTTTTATGAAATGCTTTGTATTGCTTTGTTAAAACCTTGCATATTTTTCTTTTATTTGTGCAAAGACATATTTTCCCACAAGTAGAGTGGTATATTCCACAAGAATTTATTTAGTGTAGAGAAGATTGAAATATTTTATTTCATGAACTGTAACTTACATATCTGTTTACATGCATACAGTCTCTTAAGGGTTTTGTTTTGTTTTTGTTGTATTGCTGTATTTCATAAGTGAGCCATAATGCCTCCTTGCTACTAGCAGCTGCCCTTACAGTTTACACCTTTATCATTGTCTGTTTAACTGCTTGCAAGACTTTGTTTAGATTGATTTAAGAGCTATTACCACCAGAGTCCTTTAGGACTGTATGTAATCTCTATGTGGACCTGTTACTTACGATGAGCAGCAAAGACCTTGTATTTGTGGTATTCTGTATGCAGATTTACTGATAGTGAAATTAAGACTTGGTACCAGACCACTCCGGCCACTGCCTGTGTTGAGAACCTAAAATGTCCTTGTTTGTGAAAATGTTACTTCAGTGTTCTGTAGTCTCTTGTTCATTGCATATAGGGAATCCTAGAATAATAGAACTGGACGGAACCTCGAGGGACCATCAAGCCCAGTCCCCTGCTCTTATGACAAGACCAAGCACCATCTTGACCATCCCCCATAGGTGTTTATCTAACTTGTGCTTAAATCTCCAATGATGGAGATTATACATTCTCTCTAAGAAATTTATTCCAGTGGATAGGAAACTTAACCATGTGGATAGGAATTTTCTCCTAATGTCCAACCTAAACCTCTTTTACTGCAATTTAAGTCCATTGCTTCTTATCCTATCCTCAGAGGTTACTGAGAATATTTTTCTTCCTCTTTGTAACAACTTTTTAGGTACTTTATGTTCCCTCTGTCTTCTCTTTTCCAAAGCTAAACAAACCCAATTATTTCAAACTTCCCTCATAGGTCATGTTTTCTAGACCTTGAATCATTTTTGTTGCTCTTCTTTGGATCTCCTCCAATGTCTCCATCTTTCCTGAAATGTGGCATTCAGAACTGGGCACGATATTTCAGTTGAGGCCTAATCAGTGCAGAGCAGAGCAGAAGAATGACTTCTCATGTCTGTCTTACAACATTCCTGTTAACACATCCCAGTATGATGCTGGCTTTTTTTGCTTCAGTGTCACACTGTTGACTTGTATTTAGTTATGGTCCACTATGATCCCTAGATCCCTTCAGCAGTTCTCCTTCCTAGACAATCATTTCCTATTTTGTATGTGTGCAACTGATTGTTCTTTCCTAGTGGAGAACTTTTTTGCATTTGTCCTTATAGAATTTCATCATATTTACCTCATACAGTTTCTCCAGTTAGTCTACATCATTTTGAATTATTATTCTGTCCAAATCACCTGCAACCCCTCTCAGAGTGGTATCAAATGAAAAGTTTATAAGTGTACCTACTTTCTATGCCATTATCTAAATTGTTGATGAAGACATTGAACAAAACCAGTCCCAAAACTGATCCCCGTGGAACCCCATTCATTATAGCCTTCCAGCTTAACTGTGAGCCGTTGATAACAACACTCCAGGAATAGATATCCAAACAGTTATACACCCACCTTATAGTAGTTCCATCTATGTTGTATTTCCCTAGTTTGTTAATGAAACGGTCATGTGAAACGGTATTAAATACCTCATTAAGTATAGGTATACCACATCTACCGCTTCCCCCTTATCCTCCAAGATTTGTTTTTCTCTCAAAGAAAGCTATTGGTTTGGCTTGACATGATCTGTTCTTCACAAATTCATGCTGATACTGAAGTTAAACTGACTGATCTGAAATTTCCCTTTTTATAGATGGGAACTGTATTTGCCCTTTTTCACTCTTGTAGAATCTGTCCTGTATTCCATGATTTTACAGAGATTATCACTAATGGCTCGGCTATCTTCAGTCAGTTCCTTGAGTATCCCAAGATTCATTTAATCAGGCCTCAGTGTCATGAAGGCATCTAACTTGTCTAATTTTAACTTGTTCTTTTTCTATATTACTTTCTGAACCTACCTCGTTGTCATTGGCATTCACTATGTTAGTCATTCAATCACCCCCAATCTTCTTGGTGAAAACCGAAACACAGACGACATTAAGCAGCTCTGCCATGTCCAAATTTTCTGGGTTTTGGTCCTCTTCTCCTCTCACTCCCTCTCCCCACTTAGTTGAGTAATAGTCCTACCTTCTTGGTGTTCCTCTTGCTTCTAATATATTTAAATTTCACACACCGTGATTTTGGGACCAGTTTTGAAGATACTTAACCTGCCATAATGGGACTTCTCATGGTACTGGGCTTTGTACTTGATAGTGTTTATATGTCTTGGGTCTTCGTTAGGGATGTTAAATATCAGTTAATTGACTAGTCGCTTAACCTCATGAATTCTTATCAGTCCACTATTTTATAGTCCCTGGGCAGCCCCTATCCAGGAAGGAGGGGTCTGAGCTCCCAGATCCAGTATGAGCAGGAACTGAGCTTGGCTGTCTGCCTGCCTGGCTCCTCATACAGTTTAAATGCAGAGTTGCAGAGGGAGTAGGTCTAGGACTCAGTGCAAGCTGGGACTGAGCTGGGCTGCTGGCTAGCCTGCTAAAAAATGTACTGGCAAGAGGGGGGGGGGGGGGGGAGTGTGTAGTCTATAGCATTACCGTATAAGCTTTTGCTTATCGGTTAATTGACTATGTGATTACATCCCTCGTCTTTGTTTACTTAATATTGATATTTTTAATGTCTATTTAAAGCACATTTTAAGATACTGTAGTTCCATGGTTAAAGATGTGGCTGCATCGTGCTGTAATTTTTTTATAATTTGTTC